CGCAAGAAACACCACAAAAAAAAAAAAAAAAAAAAAAAAAAAAAAAAATTAAACCCCCAAAAGCAGGGGAGTTTTTTTTTTTTTTTTTTTTTTTTTTTTTTTGGCTTGTGGGATCTTCAGAGCTTGAACCTGGGCCCTTGGCAGTGAAAGCTCGGAGTCCTAACCACTGGACCACTGGGGAATTCCCAGTTTAATCTTTTTTTTGATTGTCGTTGTAGCGTGGTGGGCCTTATCACCCTAACATAGTAAGAAAGTGGATAGAATCTGCACAGTGCCAGTTCTCTGGGGAGAAGGAAGGCCGTGCCATGCAACGTATACGACAGCGTGTGCTCGCGGGGAGAGGGATGGCTGGACATCAGGATTGGTTTGCCCATGTGGTTTGTACACCGAGGAGCAAAGGAGGCAGCTCTTACTGTCCCACAACAGGTAGATCAGGCCCTGGTGTTCGTTAGGGTGGAGGCTCGTCCAGGGACTCAGGGAGACCAGAGAAACCAGCACCCATCATGCTGGGGGACCAGCAAAGGCTGCACGGAGGAGGTGTCATTCGAGCTGAGTCCTGCAGGAAAGCAGAGCCCTGTCCCACCCCGCAGCGGCTGCGCTGGGCACATGGCAGTGGCTTGGAGCTTGGGGGATTCTTGGCTTTGGGTCTGCCGTCTTCAGGTGATGTTGAAAGGAAAGGTGCCTAGTGACTGCCCCCTGCAGTTAATTTACTTGATTTGTTCACAGGTGCTTGGAGAGCTATGCTTTCGAGGATATTTAGACACGGTCAGGTTCTTGGAAGAGAATGGTATGTATAGTAGGGCAACTGAAGTGCCCCTTTAACAAGCTTTCTGTTCACAGCCTTGGTCCACAGTCTTGACTCCATCACTCAGCGCTCAGCACCTTCACCCACCGTCTCACTCGGCCCTCTCATTAGTCCCTCGAGATAGGAAATATTTGCCCCATTTTACAGATGGGGAAACAGGGTTGGAGAGGCAGCCCAGGTCCACACTCCACTCACTGGGGAGCAGAGCTGGGACCTACCTGAACCCGGATGTCACAGCCCTAGGGCTATAGCTCTCCCTCTGCAGGGTCACCTGTCTGTGTGCTGAAGGCAGTTCCTTTGTCTTTCTTTTCTGCTTTTGGACAATTGTGAACCTTTAGTTTGATAAAGAAGGAAGATAAACAGTTTCTGGGCCGCAGGTGACAGAATAGCTCCCGCTCCCTCGAGGCGGGTGTGGGCCATGCCCACTAGCCCAGCTGTGTTCTGGGGAAGGTTCCTGCCTTTGACTCACCCTGGCTCGTCCAGGCTGGGGGACTTGGGTTCTGGAAATGTTAGAGTGGAACCAAATATGTTTGCGGCTATTTTTCTTCGATACTAAAGGTTGGTTCATGCATTAATCCTCTGAATTAGTCTTTGGCCAAGACCAAGGAGATGGTGTGGTTCACGGGACATACATGTATTTATCTACTCAGAAAATGTTTACTGCGTACCGTCTAGGTGCCAAGCAATTGACAACTCCACAGCGGACAGACAGATGTGGCCCCTGCCCTCTTGGAGCTTAGTCTCGTGGTTGTTGCCGAAATATCAGCTTCCCTGTGCCCCGATGCCGAACAGAAATACGGAGACAGAGATTTTGGAGGAAGACAGAGATTGCTTTATTTTTCTGCCAGGCAGAAGGGAAGACACAGCAGGCTAGTGCCTCAAGAACTGTGTCTCCCCCTCCTTCGGGAATCAGAGAAGATTTTATATGTGAGACTCACAGTCCGGAGTATATGATAAGGATCAAAGTAGTGAAGGTCTTGCATTCTTATTCTTCCTGCCTTATTTCAAAACAGTCTCAGCTGGCGTCATGTCAGGCAGCCCGGTAATTGGGTCCGTTTGTCTCTGGGTTATCGGCCTGTGACCTTTTTTCTGAAATGCAAATGCTGCAAGGGGCGATTCGCTACAAGGGAGCGCAGGATGTAATCCACGTAATGTTAAAGAAATAGGTTAGCTTTGTAAAGTACAGATCTAGTTACAGAAACGACAGGTTAGTAACAGTTAAGAAACACAACTAGGAGTGATGAACTCTTTCAGGCCAGGTTATGATTCTTCTCTTTCTCTAGTCTGTTCACTGTTCCCTTTATTTTCCTTGTTCTCAGGAGAGAGAAAAGTTCATTTCTATTTTTGCTGCAACATGGTCAGGGACAGATATGTCAAGAGAAGGCTGACGGTGTGCTCAGTTGCCCTGACAGGAAGATACAGGATGCTGTAGGATCACACAGGGAGTGAGGGGATCTGCAAGGCAGGGGAAAGCAGGGCTTCAGGAGGATGTGAATCCATGTTGACACTTTGAGGGTGAGTGAATAGGAGCATTCTAGGCGTGGGGAACATGAACATGAGGTGCAAAGAAGGCATGTGTAACTGGCGTGGCGGGAGTTGGGCACCCAGAGAGATGGACAGAAAGGAGAGGGGCAGGAATGGCAATAAGTGAAAAGTTGAGGGACAAGGTTGGGCCTCATGGATGTGGTGAAAGGGTCTGCATCCCACAGCAATAGGGAGCCACGGAGGGCTGCCGAAGCGGAAGTGAGGGCGGTCAGAGGGAGCTTTGGAAGCCCCCCCGCCCCCAGCCGCAGTGCAGAGTGTGTGACGGCAGCATCCAGGAGGTCAAGGAGGCCGCCGTGGGCTTGGCCGGGGTCTCGGCAGCAAGGGTGGTGGAAGGGGCCCGAGGGGACAGGACTTGGAGGCAACCAACCAGAGATTCGGGAGGAGGAAGACTTAGGGATGAAGACCTGGCCTCTGGCTTCTGCAGCTGGCACTGGGGGAGAGGGGCTCTGCTCAGTGTTCGGGCCCTCAGGAGGGCAAGGGTTCTGCAGGGAAGCTCAGGTCCCGTGTGCAGTGCCCCGGGGGCATATTTGGGTGGTTGTGCAGGAAGCACAGTGATGTCAGAGTCCGAGGTTCTGGAAAGCAGTCTGGACTGGGGATGAAATTTGGGAGCAACCTGGGAATAAAGAACAGCGATGGACCCTGTGGAAGTTACTAGGTGACTTTGGGTGACAAGCCACCTCCCCTCTCTGGGCCTCCGTTTCCACATCTCTAGCGAAAGACATTTGACTTAAATGACGCCAGGTGATTCTTAGTAATTCTAAAGACTGGCATGCGGCTGGGCGCTTGCGGCATCGGTGCTGGGTTTGGGTTTAATGATCTAAGAGAGGTCCTCCCTCGGCCAGGCTGGCCGCCTCGGGATCCTGCAGACGACGCGTGGGGCTGGGCCAGGTGTCCTCTGGGAACAGATTCTCTGAAACATGCCTAAGGGAAAGTAAGTCCCAGGGTGTGAGCTATGTGTCTAAAAGAGGGGAAAGATTCAGGGGAGCGTAACTGGGAGCTGTGACTTGGGAGCAAGGTGTGGGCATCCAGGGGCAGCCCCTGGTCGTTTTTTTGTGAATTCTTCCTCTTGCATCCTCTTTTATTTTTTATAAAATTTATTTATTTATTTTTGGCTGCGATGGGTCTTTGTTGCTGCGCACGGGCTTTCTCTACTTGCGGCGAGTGGGGGCTACTCTTCGTTGCGGTGTGCGGGCTTCTCCACGGGCTCTAGGCGCACGGGCTTCAGTAGTTGCAGCACGCTTGCACAGTAGTTGTGGCTCACGGGCTCCAGAGCTCAGGCTCAGTAGTTGTGGCGCACAGGCTTCGTTGCTCCGCGGCACGTGGGATCTTCCCAGACCAGGGCTCGAACCCATGTCCCCTGAATTGGCGGGTGGATTCTTAACCACTGCACCACCAGGGAGGTCCAGCCCCTGGTCTTTTAATCTGAGGTTGGAAGCAAGAGGTGAGCCGAGGCAGGCGTGGGCATCCGAAACTACCTGTCCCACTGCCCCCACCCAGTGTGCGAGCAGGAACCACCCACTGGTATTGGCTCCTGAGCCCCGGCACCTAGGGCAGGACCTGCACAAACTCCCTGACCTAATGCTTCTTTCGAGGCCGTGTGATGGAAGGGTGCCATCTGTGACATCACATCTCGGTTCGATTCTCGCGGTGCCACGTATTGGCTGTGTGGCTTTGGACAAATCTCTTAACCTCTCTGTGCTTCTGATTCCTCAGCTGAAAAGCAGAGATGATGATAATGGTAGCAGTTGAATGGCTGCTGCAGGGCCTGGACCGCTGGCTTAACCAGTGGTTCCGTTACTATAAATTAGTTATAACCCTTAGCTTTGAACATAAAGAATCCACACGTGGCTCCAGAGCCCACACAGCTGGTGAGTGATGGAGCCAGGCGCCCTCCTCACATCCATCCGGCGTCAAAGCCTCGCACTCCTTTCTCCCTGCTAGGACTGCCTGCCCTCGTTGATCTCCGCCTTGTACTAATAACAGGCCTGCAGCTTCCCTCTAATTTGGTGGGCAGGTGTGTGTGAGTGAGTAATGACCCCGCCGCCCGAAATTGCCTGACGGGTTTGTTTCTGTGCCCTTCGCAGGCATCTGTGACAGGCCCCTTCTGTGCCTGAGTGCATCCCCAGCAGAGTCGGAAGTCCTCGAGGCCCCCTGGAAGCACGGGAGCCTGCAGTCTTCCAGGCCCCCTGGAAGCACGGGAGCCTGCATGGCCGCCGGGGAGGCGAGGCCTGAGGAAGCCACGCTGCTGGATCACCCACACCTCAGCATCCGGCCCTGGGACAACAGCATCCTGGAGACCCTGTCGCCCAGGCTCACCATAGGTGCCGGCTCTGGGGGCGGGACGGCAGAGGCTCTCTGTGACCCTTTATGAGGCAGAAAGGGTGGCTTCCCTGTGTGTAGTGGAGGAAGGTCATGCCGCCGCGTGGGAAGAAATGGGGCGGAGCGACCAGGGCAGGCCCGTTGGGACCCACACCGCCCAGCACGGGCCTCCCATCCCCCTGGGTCCTTGCCCAGTCTCCCTTCCCATGGGGGCCTGGCCAGAGGAAAACAACCTCCAGCTGAGTTTTGTGTTAACTGGCTGTGCTCTCTGCTCCTGAAGTCCAGGCACGCTGGATATTGGGGGGGTGGCCTGTTCTTTGAGAACGCCGTTCTCTGCCTGTCCTCCCATCTCAAAGCTTTTTCTCTCTCGAGGAGCCCCTCCTAATTTCTCCCTCCCCGCAAAATCACAGTTTTGAACCTTCACTGAATCTGGTTATTTTATCATGTCATCGATTATATAATGGATAGATGAATGCACCGTCCAGCTTCCAGCTGGGCATTTGGGGAAATTCAAAGATGAATGGCACAGGGATTTCCCTGGAGGTCCAGTGGTTAAGACTCCGAGCTTCCAATGCAGGGGGTTAGGGTTCAATCCCTGGTCGGGGGGAACTGAGATCCCACACACCGCAGGATGTGGCCAGAATAGAATAGAATAAATCAAAGTCGAATGGGATGCCCCTTTCTTGCCCCTGAGGCACTAACACCCCAGGAGTTGCATTAACCAGCAGCTGCTCAGATTCTTGTGATTTGAGGCATCGGGAGGTCATTACAAAGGGGAAATAGAAGGCTAGGGGGTTCCAGGCAGAAGAGATGGAATCCAGCTGCAGGTGCTAAGAAGAGCTTATAAAACTGGGGCCAGGGGCACTTTGAGAAGTTTGTGTACGCCTCCAAAAATAGTCAGTTTAAAAGAGAGTCTTTAAAAGGGACCCTGTACCCTGTAGTCGATCCAAGGGCTACTTGGGCACATTCCCCACCGGATCTCATTTGTGGACGCTTCTGATTCTTGGGCTGCCAGGATTTGTATATTTCACAGAAATTCCAAGCACCACCCGGGGAAGATGGTTTGGTTTTTACACTGGTGAGAGACAGACCTCCCAATTGTATTTTTCAGCCCTGAGGGAAGCAATTAGAAACCAAGATGGGTACATAAGCAAGATGTGCAACTTCTTACCAATTAAGGTCATGTCCTACCTGGTGCTGCCCTGCACGCTGCCCGTGGAGTCCGTGATTGCTATGGTCCAGAGGTGAGCACTTCACATGGCTTTGTGGCATCCTCATGGAAGTGGGGCGAGGATTCAGTGAGAGAAGCCGTGGAAGGCCCTCGGCCTGGGGCCTGGCTCCTTATACATCGGGGTGGAGTTCACGGTCAGCGTGGGACACCCTGGAAAGGTGCCTCGTTGGCAAGCCCCTGCCCACCCCTCCTCCCTTCTCATTGCTGTTACATGTTTGTCACTTCTTGTAGGTCTGCACTTCTATTTTGGAATTTTATTCCTGGTACGTTGGAGGGATCTGAGGCCAACGCTGGGATGCCTGCTGGATTCCTGGGCATTTGTTTCCCCTCAGTTTTCTTCTGATTTACTTTGGTGTTTACTTTCTTTTTAGCGAGTTAGTCAACATGTCCCTCAGTCCATCTTTTAAAGTCCCAACCGTCCTTCAAAATCCAGCTCAGTTCTCCAGCTTTGGTCATCCTGCCCGGGGCCCTTCTCCACCATGCCAAATCAGCCACCCGTTCCCGCACAGCCTTGCCCTGGGCTGAGGGCTGCTCTGGCATTTCCCAAAGCCCGAGATGTGGGGTCCTTTTCATGTCCTGGGTGCTGGGAGTCTGGAGGGCAGTGGTCAGGCCTCCTTGGGGGCTCCCTCTGCTGCGCTCGCACGTGGCCAAGCCCAGGAGACCTGGGCGCAGGGGGTGGTTCTCGACCGCAAGATGCTCTGCATCGGTGGCCATGTTGCCACAGAGGAGTAGGATCCTGGAAAACCAAGGTCTTTTCCTTTTATTTCCACGTAAGTCCCTTGAGCGTTCCCAAATCAAAAAATGAGCTAATTTTCCTTGGGGCTTTTAGGTTGGCTTGTCTTTGGGAATTTATCACGTCGGGGTTAGAAGTGACCCCGGCAGTTTACCTGGACGATGGTATCGTTTTAAGATGTCTGCCTTTGGTTAGGGTTTGGTTTTGTTCTTTTTGGTTTGGTTTCTCTTCCTGCTCATACGACGTGGGTGTCTCTCTGTTTTATTCCTGCAGACTGGTGATGTGGCTTCCAGACATGCCCAGCGACATCCAGTGGCTGTGGTGGGCAACCTCCCGGATTTGTTCTCGAGTGATGACGCGTTTGCTCCCTGGGGAGCCCTGTATCAAGGACACGGGACAAAAACTATGGAATTAACCAAGCCCGCATAGCAACTGTTGCCATGGGCTCTCCTAATCTAAATGGGACAGCCCCACGCCTCCACAGTAGGTAAAATATTCACCATGTAGCAACCTCGAAGCACCCTGACCAATCGCCTGATGCCATCCTGCCAGCAGGAATCTTTGCCTTCAGGCTATAAAAGTTGGCCACTAGCCCACAGAGGGGGTCGGCCCTCCGTGGTCTGTCAGGACGTGGACCCACTGTATCTGCAGCGCCCCTCACTAACTCTGCGCTTTGTTCTCAGTAAAGTCTCTCTTTCCTAAGATACTTTGTGTCTGGAAATGCTTCTCCCAACCCACGTGCGGACCGCGACATTTGGTGGCCTGTACAGGGACCTCCAGGGGGGTCTCTTTCCCCACCTCCTCTCGTCATTCCTTGGGACCCTCTGTGAACAGGCAAGCTGCCGTGGAAGCAACGGAGGACTCTGGCCAGGGCCACAGCCTGGTGTGTTCCGAAGGCTCCACGGCTCGCTTAGCCCCAGTGACCGCCGCCCAGACGGGTGAGGATCCCTCTGTCTTCCTTCCGACTGAGGACTAGGCCGATTGATATTATGCGGGCACGGGTCAGGCATTTAAAAGCCATTAGGGCGCCTGCCGCTTGAAGACTCCCGTGGAAGGATAAGGGGGTCACGGAACAGACCAGGCTGTTAGAGCATCTGCCCCCAGCAAGACAACTTCTGTGCACCGTGAGGCGCGTATTGGTTCAGGCAGAACACTGAGCCCCCTCCCCTTGGCCGCCGCCTTCCCGGCAGGACTACGAGGCCAATTCCTCAGCCTGTCTTCTCTGTTACTTTCACCTTTTTCTCGGTCCGGATTGACTTACAGGAGCCTAGGCGTTGCCTCTGAGCCATCCCCGGAGTGCCTTTTCACGTTTCAGGGCATCGCCTTACGGTGAGTCACCGGGTGGGTCCCGGGAATCTCCTCTCTTTCCTTTCCTTTCCTTTCCTGGCCGAGTCGCATGGTGCCTCAGTCGCACGCTCAGGGGTCACCTCTCATGGTCGGACGCGATTGCTGGGACGGTCGGCCCATTTTGTGCCTTAGTCGCACGGAGAGATCACTGGGACAAAGGGGACGCCTCTCTGTCAGCCGGTGACTCTCAGGACCCCCGTTCTATGGCGTACAGGCTAAGAATGGGTTCTGCGACGTCTTGGGAGCCTCCCTCGGACTCACCCCTCGGCTGTATCCTCAGGAACTGGGAAAATTTGACCCTGAAAATCTCAAAAAAGTAGAGGCTCATTTTCTCTCATAACACGGCTTGGACCCAGTATAAACTGGGGGACCGAGAACAATGGCCTCTTAATGGGACACTAAATTATAACACGATCCTCCAACTTAATCTCTTTTGGCGGAAACAAGGAAGGGACTCAGAGGTTCCTTACGTCCAGACCTTTATGGCCCTTAGTCAGAATCCGGAGCTGCACGTGTCTTTCTGTTGCCACCTCATCCTCCCGACCCCCTCTGCCTCCCTCTCCAGCAGATCTCCTAGGCGACCCTCCACTCGACCTTTCCTGTTCCCCGCCCCATGAACCCTCATTGCTTCAGCCCCTGCACCCACCTCAGCACAGCTCCCCAGCAGGTACCCCCTTATCAGGGCGAAAGCCCCCCTCCCCTCCCCACACAAGATCCAGGACTGCCCAACGCCAGGAAACAGATTCTAATATGCTTCCCTTAAGGGAAGTGGCAAATGGAGACATGGGCACTGTTAGAGTCCATGTTCCCTTTCCCGTGTCTGACATTTCCCAAATTCAAAACGAGTTAGGTTCCTTCAGTCAGGATGGCCACAATATTCTTTAGAGTCCGGAGAAAATTGGTTAAGATAAAATGTTTTTGAAATTGCAAAACCAGTTCTTTATGAATATGCAATTAGAGAAAGCTAGCTTGTTGAAATATCTTTTTCAGAATTCTGACCCTGAGAGAACAAAAAATATGCCTAGGAGAAAGCTTGAACTTAACTCTTATCATGTCCTTGAGCTACAAACACAGCCCACTTTGCCTGAGACTTCAGCCTCGTGTTAATTAGTAGAACTTCAAGCCAACGGGAAAAAAAAAGAGGCAGGGGCTTCCCTGGTGGCGCAGTGGTTGAGAGTCCGCCTGCCGATGCAGGGGAAGCGGGTTCGTGCCCTGGTCCAGGAGGATCCCACATGCCGCGGAGCGACTGGGCCCATGAGCCACGGCCGCTGAGCCTGTGCTCCGCAACGGGAGAGGCCACAACAGTGAGAGGCCCGCGTACCGTAAAAAAAAAAAAAAAAAAAAAAGAGGTAAAGAGACACTTTAAACCTCAAGTGGAACCTATGAGATCTCTGTCTGGATATCTGTGTTTGTGTCAGTATGTGTCTATGTCCTTGGATAATATTGCTGAGGTTAATTTGCAAATGAGTTCTATTTAATTGGCTTAAAAGAAAAGTAAGTGCTTACAAATCAAACAATTCTAAATACAAGAAAAATTAAGCTAAATTTCAGATTCACGTGAACTGGGGAATATTCAATATTAAATTAATACTTGGTATTAATGTTTAAGTTTATTGATCTAATTAATATAGACATGTCTTTAGAGCGATCAAGATTAAGTATAATACTTTTATTGTGCCTAGGTTTAATATAAACTAAATAAGATCTTATTATAACTGTCACAAATTTGTCAGCAATGAAAATAACTCAATGTGAAGAAACTTTTTTTTTTTTTTCGGTACGTGGGCCTCTCACTGTTGTGGCCTCTCCCGTTGTGGAGCACAGGCTCCGGACGCGCAGGCTCAGCGGCCACGGCTCACGGGCCCAGCCGCTCCGTGGCATGTGGGATCTTCCCGGACCAGGGCACGAACCCACGTCCCCTGCATCGGCAGGCGGACTCTCAACCACTGCGCCACCAGGGAAGCCCAGAAGAAACTTTTAAGAAAAGAAAATACAGGGGACTTCCCTGGTGGTGCAGTGGTTACGAATCCGCCTGCCAGTGCAGGGGACACGGGTTCGAGCCCTGGTCCGGGAAGATCCCACATGCCACGGAGCGGCTAAGCCCGTGCTCTGCAACAAGAGAAGCCACCGCAATGAGAAGCCTGCGCACTGCAATGAAGAGTAGCCCCCGCTCAGTGCAACTAGAGGAAGCCCACGTGCAGCAATGAAGACCCAACGCAGCCAAATAAATAAAAATTAATTAATTTAAAAAAAAGAAAATACAAATAAGAGCTTTGATTGAACTTTTCAGGAATCATTATGTTTTAGGAATGTCTACTTAAGAATAATCTCTCCAGATATTTGACAACTTAAAACATTTAGAGTTGTGCTAAATTAAAGGATGGAATTTTATTAAATAACTAGTCCATTTCCAAATAAAATAAGATACTGAAACATTAATTACTGAACACTGGCTTCCTTTTCCAGAGAAACAAAAGGTTTAGAACTATTAATAAATGTGTGGTGCTCACTGAGATACTTTCTGTAAGAAGCATATTTTTCAAGGAATCATTACTTGGATTTATGTTTACCAATCTACAGAGTGCTGCTATAAAGGACAGTTGCTTAAGGAAAGTAGGATGTATGTTTTCAGTAAAGAAGGCGTGAGGAATGGAATTACATTTTATTAAGAAAGAAAGGAGTAGGTCTAATTTAGAGTTGACTGCTTCTGAATGGGAAAATAAAGTGATGGATACAGAAAGTGATAAAAAGTGGACCCTGAGGAAAGAGTTTTTTTGTTTTTAGTTTTTTCTTGCGGTACGCGGGCCTCTCACTGTTGTGGCCTCTCCCGTTGCGGAGCACGGGCTCCGAGCGCACAGGCTCAGCGGCCATGGCTCACGGGCCCAGTCCGTGAGGCATGTGGGATCCTCCTGGACCGGGGCACGAACCCGCGTCCCCTGCATCGGCAGGCGCACTCTCAAACCCTGCGCCACCAGGGAAGCCCAAGTTTTATGCATGGTCAGGATTGACTAAGTTTAGAATAAATTTAATTAAGTAAATGAATTTTAAAAGTAAGCGGGTGCAAAACTTGAATTTGGCTTTTCTTTCTGTTAAGAGGACAAGTTTTCTTAAAATGTTGAACTGCCTTTGATAACAGATTTTAAATTTCTTTACCTCTTAAGTGATCTGTTCTGTATTTGCCTTTGAAATCTTTTATTGTTACCTTGGCTAAGTAAATAACTATTGCTCCCTTAAGTGTCGTCGTCTGCCATAACAGTAACCAAGTTACTTTGTTAATTTTACTGTAATCAGATTTTAAACGCGCCTTCTCAACATGCCTTCTTAAGTCTTTTGTCATTATACACTTACAGTTTCACTCTAATGCCTTTGCAAAAATGCTTCCTCTTCAAGAAGATTTATAAAAAGGACTTTTGCATAAATACAAGTTTCTGACTTTCAGACTATAATGATAACTAGGTAAGAAACTGAAGAATTCTAATGAAAAACCTGATGGCTTCATAAAGCTGTTAACAAAAAGGATTAATTACAAAGGACTGAATGAACTGGTAAATATGGTTATAATTTTATGGGTTCTGTCTGAAAAATTACTGGTTTGAATCTGTGTTTTCCAGGTGTAAGGAAAACCTTCCCCTCAAACTAATTCTGACTTACAGTAATTTGGTAAATTATACCTTTGTAAGCAAAATTGAAACATTTACATTTTTCGTCTGTCTGCTCACTCCAGAGATGGGAAACTCTTAGGTTCCCAGCAGCTTTATCAGATAAATTAGGAAGGCTGCCTCACTAACAGGTACAGAAATCTCAAGGTATTTTGGGAACCTTGCAAAGGAAGGAATTCACCTAGATCTGGTAAGCGAAATCTGTGACAAGCCCTTGGTGTGACTTTCATTGCCCTGAGAGGGATTTTAAAAGTTCAGTCTGAGACTCCTTATGAAAATTTCTGCAAGCAAAAAGCCTATATGATAGTAAACTTAAAAATAAAAAAGTTTATTGAGACCAGGCTGAAATTTGGTTCTCTCTCTGTTGAGAACAAAGTTTTCTTGGAATGCTGCTTTTAATAACAAACTA